TGGTTTAGACGCTTTCCTTACCCCTCTGGCCATCGAGGTTTTAATGATCCTTAATTGGCTGTAGAAATCTCCTTAATTTTATTTGATATTCTATGTACTGTTACATTTTTATGTTTATTTTAACCTATGCATCTTTCTTGAACTGTAATTTCTTTGATCTTAACAAATCGATATTATTTAAAAACAATATTATTAATGCGATTATTCTATAATTATTACTATTATTATATTTATTATTCCCTTGGGCTCCGAATGAAACATATGGTTTCGACAACACATCTGTACTTTGTTCCATTTTCTACTGTCCTCTTCACCTGGGTCCACGATTAACCATAATCTCCTCCTCGCCACACGATCTCCTCCATGTCACCCTAGCACTGACGACCCACTCGTCATTTCACATTCGGATTCCACTCGAGCGATGGTCTGAATTGCGCGTGATATCGTTCGGCGGTCTCCTCGGCGTATCCCCAATCCACCTACATTTTCTCCTACATATTTGTTGAGGCATCGGCTCTTCGTTGGTTTGTTCCCAGACAGAGTTTGTTGTTCCTAATTCTTCCTGGCTGGCTGACCATTTGATCTTCAGTATGGAGCCAGTGAAGGCAGCTGTTGGTAAAAGTCTGCAGTGGCCTGTTGGAAATCCTTTTCGTGACACGCAGTGCAAGTTTCTGACCAGTATAGAAGAACTGACTGACTTCACATTTGTGTTAAAAATCCGAATCTTGTTCTTTATGCTGCACAATGCAGAAGATTTCCAAACTGGTTCCAGGTTGATGAAGGCGTATCTTGCCTTTCTGATTGTGGCTGGTATTGACATCTTCATCCGTACGAGGTGCCTGTGGTTGAAACGATGCTTCCTCGCCGGATAAGCGAAGGAAATAACCTCTGTCAAGCTGCTCCCGTTGATAGTGATCGGTGCTGGTTGTTGTTGCTGTTAGCTGGTTATCTTCATCACCTCCGTCTTCTTTATGTTCACCTGGAGTCCTGTCTTCGCTGCCTGCCACTTAAGCCAGTTCATTGGCTTTCGCCTCCAAGTCTTCGAGTTTGTGTGACATTAGAAATAAGTGATCCACACGCGAAATCCAGATCTTCTAAAGCCTTCATATTGGTCCAGCGTATTCCTGTCTTCTAGCTCCCATGCACTGTCTGATGCATACTCCAGTGCACCACAGTTAAGAATATCATCAGTGATAATAGACAGCAGGACTTGTCTTACTCCTGTATTCACTTCAAATGCCTCACTGAGTTTTCCATTGTCGGTCGCATGACACGTGGCATTGTCATATAGCCAGCTGTTGAATGAAAATGATAAAGATTTAGGCATTGCACGCCATAGTGTTGAAGCAGTTTCCAAATTACTTCTCAGTTAACGCTGTCTGTCGTAAGCCTTTTCGAAGTCGATGTAGTTGAGGTAGGGAGGGATTTGACTGCCATTCTATGCTTTGTCCTGTGATGACGATGAGAAGAGCTGCAGATTGATCAGCACAAGATTTGCCTTTCCTGAATCCAGCTTTTTCCGGTGGTCTGGTGGAGTTCTGCATCCAGTGCTTCTTTTATTTTCTCCAGCATAATGCGACATAGTATTTTACTCGTTGATTATTCTGCTCCAACACTATGGTGTGCTCCAATTCTTTATTTATCACAAGTAAAACAAGGCCACCTACCATCACTGATGATACTCATGATTCCGATAGACTGGATCATGCAACAGACGGTGCAAGAAGACATGCATACGTGTGACCGAAAAAAGACACTAGAAGATCTGGACTTCATCGAGGATTTATGTCTAATGTCACATAAACTCGAAGATCTATAGGCGAAAACCAACCAATTTGCAGAAGAGGCTAGCAGCAAAGACAGAACTTCAAGTGAACATAGGGGAGACAGAAGTGATGAGGATAACCAACCACAAGTACCAATCACTATCAACGGACGAAATCTAAAGGAAGTCACCCCTTTCACTTAAATTAACAGTATCGTTTCAACTGCAGCCGGCTGCATTGATGAAGATATCAAGCCACTTGGGGTCAGAAAAGCAAGACAGACCAGTTTTGCTCTGAAATCAGTGTTAAAATCTGCAGCACTGAGCATAAGGAGAAAGATTCAGATTTTCAACATTAATGTCAAGTCAGTGCTTCTGTATGGTCCGGAGACTTGGTGCGTCACGAAAAACATTTCTAACAGGCTTCAGACTTAAATCAACAACAGCCTTTGCTCGATACTGAAGATCAGAGAGCCTGTCAGAAAGGAGTCTAGTAACGAACCAACTGAAAAGCTATCGCCGAACAAATATGCAGAGAAAATTGTAGATGGAGTGGACACACGCTGAGGAGACCGTTGATTAACGCCGCACTCCAGGCTCTTGAGTGGAACCCGAATGCGAAACGATGAGTTGAGCATCCGAGGGTTACGTGGAGAAGACTGTGAAAGGAGGAAGTCCAAGCTTATGGGCAATCGTGGAGATAGCTTAAAAGGACTGCAAAGAACAGGATCAAATGGAGATGTCTTTCTGAAGTGTTATGTTCCACTAGGAGCGCAACAGAATAATAATATAATAAATCACAACTTTAAGAAAACCTCAGGAATATTTTTCAAATTTATTCTTTCGGAGGACATGCGATTTATAATGTTAAAGAAGTAAGTTTCAACTGTGTTTACTTACTATGAGAGTATATTTCTTCAATAAAGAAAGAACGAGCATATTTACAGGTTAATACAGGCTCGTTTTATTCCGTGGATTCTCTTCAACTGCATGCATCCTAAACAAAATCAATTATAAGTTTCTGAAAATACTTCTTACAATTGGAAACATTTGTTTTACAATGACTTCAAGTTATAGATAGAAAGTATGAGCATCATAATTTCAAAGATGATGTAAGTAGACAATTATTTAGTGTTAAAAGAATAACTATTTATGTAGTATTATAAATTACTTAAATTAATCCCAGCGTGTTGAGAAAATCAAAACAAGATTTTTCTGAACGTTTCGCTGTGTAAGCCACAGCTTCTTGACACGCTGGAATTAATTTAAATAATTTATAATGAATCAATCTGACTCGGCGCTCAAATTATTCCAGGGAGTTCGTAACACCTACGGCCTGGAAACCTATAATATTTATGTAGTAATTAGACAAGCAAGTAGAGTTCAGATTTTGCTCACAAACAAGAATTGACTATAGACACAATACAAGATCGAAAAAGAGAGTAAATTTATACACAATACGAGGCAAACATCAGTAATGTGAGAGCGAAAAGTAAAATTATGACGTAGATAAACAAATAAGAAAATTTGGAAACTTAACAGTGAGTAAAAATCAAAGTCAAATTAAGTGGAATGTTACGTAACAGAACAAAATCACACGAATGAAATAATTGCAGTTATCAAGGTAATGAGAGATTTCATGCATTTATTCCCCTTGATGAATTTGAATAAAGCAAGAACAACAGTGGTTTGTGCTGAATAATATGGTAACATCATTTATTTCGTCGGCTTCTCATCAGCTGCTTACAGCCTAAATAAATTGAGATTAGTCACACTATATACAGAAGTTGGTTTGAAGTCGTTGGACGGCAATGGCTTCTACGAAACGAAGAAGCCGTGGTTTTCTTTGTGTATTGATTATTGTGAAAGTTTGACTAATTTTCACTGTATGTCCCGTGTCTGGAAATTTCACTTCTTACAGAGACTTCTAGGGATATGCTGAGAAAATCTAGCAGATACTCTCCTCTCAGTCCTTCCTGTGTATCTTTGTAGGCTGATAATTGGAGATGCAGCTTAGTCTCCAACCACTGAGTCATTTCAATAGGGACATTTGTGTTAGTTTAGCTTTATGACCCCCTGAGTGGAGCCGAGAGGAAATTAGAATCGGTGGCTAGAGATGTCTTCAGATATGACCAAGAATCGTAACCAATGGCGGACTTGCCTCGATTTACTTTTTCCTTGCTCTTCTGGAAAGTAACGTGAAGTAATACATAATCCTGACGAGTATGCTTACTTGCTTTCCGGATGACCTGCCTCATTTATTCTATCCCTATTTTCCTTGCATATGGCTGTTTTATTATTCTTATGTCATGCACCCCTTGGTGTCCATAATGTATCGAGTCTGAGTTTTTAATGATCATTCATTATCTCAACTTCACTCCCTTTTCAATTTTATTCCTATGATGATTCCTTTTTTCATGACATATTTTATCTGTACTTATGAATACCCATCAAATGGTTATGCTAAGAAAGTTGCCTTACTGGAAAGTTTATCTTACATGTGCTTAAAGCTGTCAGGTGTAGAAAGTAGTATATATGGAGTCGAATTTAAATTCTCTCTACTTGATCTCTGTCATATATTGCATTCAACAAGACAGTTTATACAAGTTTACTGATGTAATTCCGATGTCACAAGACTAATAATGAAGTTATTAATCTTAAGATGCATCGATTGCTTTTAACATAAACTGCCATATGGTCATTCGGGATGTAGAATTTCTAGGGATGACTTTGACTAATCTCTACTCCCCAGAACGAAAAGGCATTATAGCTGACTTGCTGGTCGTCCAAAGAAACATCTTACGGCCAATACACCCGCGTTTACACCAGCAGCACAACTTTCCCTTCAGAACGTTTCGACATCGAAAACTACTTGTAATATGATGGTAGCTCCTTTCAGCCTCATAGTTACCAAACCGACATTTCTTACACAAATAAATCTCCATTTACAGGTCTCAGTCTAACAAAAATTACCTAAAAGTAATAATAATAATGTGATTGTTATTATCTACTCAACGATTATTTTAGGTGAAGTCATTACGAATGAAACGTAAATAATTTACGTCCAAAAATTCATTCCAATTATCTGAATGACTGAGTTTCAACACAGAAGTGCACCAGTTTAAGTTTCCACACTCCATATAGTACACAAAAGTAGAGAAAAAAGAGAACCAAAAGAATTATAATGAGTTAACATGTGCGGGAGAAGGAATAGTTGCTAACCCCATACCCGACCTTCCCTCTTTACCAGTCTCATTACTGGCTTGGCGAGGTAAGACAGTGCGTCGACCGGGGATCGAACCCCGGACCACGTAAGGCGCGATTGGCGAGCATCCTACCGCTGTGCCACCGACGCACATAAGGGATTATGGATATGAAATATTACAAAGACTTCATGGACTGATTTCAGGTTTTAATTCAAATAGCATTGCTCATTGAGAAAAGCAGTGGCTCGGCATGGGTTACACGTGTCCCGGCCATGTTAATCGATGCAGCTTCACAACTTCATCGTTTCACCTACTCTCTTCTTAGGAAGCACTTGATGCCTAACCTTGATGTTACTCACAGTATTATACCACTTAACAAGGGGAACAGAACGCAAACACCTGTGGTCGGAGATAGCTAGCACTCTTATATCTTCCACTCTTAATGATCTGCCTCACAGTCATAAAGCAGCACAGACCAGATAGTTGCGCATTGTACAAACATGGTATCATGAATTAAATTTTTTAAACAAACTGCATTAGTATTACAAACACAACCAAATAAAAGCTGAAAATAAACAATGGCAACAATTTTAATGTAATTTTTCCAGTCGATAATATGAATACTGCAAAAAATTACACAAAGTTAGTAGCTTCTGATTTAAACAAAAATTAAAAAGAAACCAAAACAAAACAAATTTACAGTATATAGCAACATCACTGAGAAAAAACTAAGCAAACAAATGTACACATGTTGAGAATATTATTCTAGCTTTTGACCAGTATTACCTATGAAATCAAAGTACAGAGATGAATTTTGAAGATGTGAACCTGAAAGTCCTTTGTATGTGTTGTGAAATACTAAATGCTCATAAGATAAAAAGTCAGATGACTAGTAGTTACATAGTGTTTAAAAATATATAGTTTATGCTAAAGACGAACAAACAGAGTTTGGAGTATTTAACATTGGAGTTGATAAGCTGATTGACTTCATAAATTGAGTAGGGAGTGATATTTTACAAGATGATTTTGTCGAGGTTTGTGAATTAGAAACAGAGGTTTCAGAAGGATGATTGCTTGTCTCAAAATCATGATTGTCCACTTGTCTTTTGCGTACGGGACTCATAGGTAGATTTTTAGATTTCTGTTTAAGAGAACAAGAATTAGTATTTTGGTTGCGCAGATTAGATTTATCCATGCCCTCTTCATTGAGATTACTCACTTTCGTCGGGGACTGAGGTCCAATCAAAACAGGAGACACATTTTGTGTAGCTTGTTTGATTGTAAAATATAATTTAAAGGGTTGTTGACGACGCCAAGCATAAAGGCAAGCTAGATCTGATAATGTGTGATCAGGATTAAAGAGATCATCAGCTGAAAAAAATACGGAAACATCGTGCTCACTCGGCTTCAAGTTGAACTTCATTCGAATAAGCTTTTCAATATGTCCCACTGTAAGTTCAGGTGGACAAAGTAAAAATGTAGGTTGAATAGGAGGGAGAATGGATAAATCAGACTGACTGGAAAATTTACTGCTAGAATCATCAATGTTATTTTCATTTTGATCCCAGTATCGAAGTTCAATACTTAGGCGATCTTCTTCTGGAAGTACATAGGTATTAATTGATATATCACCTCGCTTTTCAGGACTGAGTGAACGACTATGAAGGGAAGGATGAGCTGAAAAGTCAAAAATCAGAAAGCATGATAATAGTAATAAAACACTAAGAATAATTGTAGAGAGAACGTCAATTGTAGACCTGCAGTTCTAAGGTCTGCCTTACTGTCATATACACACACTACACTGGAAAGAACATTATTCTACCACACATAAGTGACAACAGAAAATTGAATTTATAATAATCTCAACTAAGTATTACAGTCTTAATCATATTACACAATCTGGATACGATCAAAGAAAGGATTTATTAAGACGGTAGAAAAAGAGGTGAGTTAGTTATGTACCAGGTTAAGAACCACACCTATCGTGTGAGGTCTGATGACATTACCCAGTTGAGTTAGATGAAGCGAGACTCGAACACGTGACCCATAGGCTGAGTGTTTAAGCCGATAAGCCACACAACTCCACTGAGTTAAGTTTAAAGAAGAAACAAGTGTTGTAATGGTGGCAGGGCGAGTGGAAAAGTTCACATTATTTACACAATGCGATGAATGTTAAATCACTGAATTTTCATATGCAACAGTGCAGATTCTGTCACAAAAGTTAAAGCTATATTATATACATAGAAGCCTTTTTTACCTACTGACATTGAAGCAACCAAGTTGCATCGTTATCCTTCACAAAACGCAACTTACAAAACCTCATCTGCAGTTTCCCATAATAAACAAGTAAAAGTAGAATTTTAAAATAAGCTGATTTGCACACAAGCTATGCTTTAACCGAGAACTACAATGGTAATTTGCATACAATTACGCAAAATGTGAATAGTGCGAACCATTATGATTTTACACAAGATATGGAAGTAATTCAGAGTATGTCCCGTTAAAAAAACACAAAGCATAAGCCACAAGGAAATGTATGCATTGAATAAAATATGCCCAAGTAATAAACAAAAGTTCAGTATCACATAATTAACCTGGCATAAGATTGTTAGTGTACTAAATAATAGGCTAGCAAAGATTAACATATCATCGTTATTTAAAAACACAACCTTGGTAAACTATGGGCACCAAGAGATGTGCCACACGAAATCTCATAGTTTGTGCGAGGGTCGGGATACTGCCTAGATGCCCGGACCGAAATAGGTGGCTGTTTTGAGAGGACATCCCCGAACTCCGACTTGAAGTCTGATCCACAACACAGTGGAGCAGCGTCAAAAACTACGTTCTTATGGTTTACAGTGACCAAAACAAATGCGCAGGCCATTTTATGCTTTGCCATACTGGAGCCCATGTACATCATAGGTTTGGAATCATGTGTTGTGAATGAATTGAAACAACGAACTCACATTGAAACTCAACGCGCGCTAGTAAAAATGATTCCAAGCAATACTGATCCCTCAAGCAACTTATTTCCTTCCTATCTTACTTTTATTTTTACACATAGTTTCCTGTATTTTACCTTTTCTAACCTTGGCTTCTTAACCTTCGACAGCCTTTCGCCTTTGTCGAGATTCCCAGCCTATCCATGTCGTTTCGAGATGTTAGTGAGTAGTCCTCAAAATGGTTGTTCCCAATGTGACTTCTAACACAGATATCCTGAAACCGCGTGCTGCGTTCAAGCTGGCTACCTACAATGTTCGGACGCTGATGCAAATCGGACAACAGGCAGGGTTGGCAAGAACTTTGGAAAGCCTCGCTATCGATGTCTGCTGCATTTCGGAGACCCGCATTCAAGATCCCAGTGAAGTGCTTCGACTGTCCTCTCCATCTGGAAGTTCTAGTAGTATGTACCACCTGCGCTTATCCGGGGACCCTGTGGCATCAGCATCCGGCGTAGCTGGTGTCGGTGTCGCACTGAGCGCCAGAGCCGAAGCTGCACTGCTCGACTGGATTCCCATTAACAGTCGTTTATGTGCTGTGAGGCTGGAAGGATATACGAAAGTAAGGAGTAGTAGGCCAGATAGGCGGTGTCTATTTGTTGTCTCTGCCTATGCACCGACGGATTGCAGCCCGGATGCAATGAAGGATGAGTTTTACTACCAACTGAGCGATCTGTTGAAACAGGCGGGTCGGAGGGATATCGTAGTGCTAGCTGGGGACTTGAACGCACAGGTCGGGCGTCTAAGCTCAGAGGAGAGTCGTCTAGGTGGTCAGTGGGGACTACATGGTCGCAGGTCAGATAATGGGGACCGTCTTCTGCAGCTTTGCGCGGATAACAACCTATTTCTAGCCAGCACTAACCTCCGGCACAGCCATCGCCGTAGCGCTACCTGGCGTCCTCCCTCTGCGAAGCAAGCTTGGACTCAGATTGATCATATTGCGGTCAGTTTCCGGTGGTGAGGATGCATACAAGACTGTCGCTCCTTCTGGAGCACATGCCTGGACTCTGATCATGCGTTAGTGTGTGCCAAGTTCGTCTTGCGATTTGGTGGGGTTCGTAAAAACCGTCGTCTAAGCGTTGATGTGAGCAAACTAGTAGCACCTGCTACTTCTTTGAAATATCAGAACGAGTTGAAAACAATGCTTGCCAGCAACCCCCCAAGTAGTATAGATGAACACTGGCTTCATGTGCAAGGTGCCATGCAAAAGGCGAGTGTAGCCGCTTGCGGCTTGAAAGAATACTCCGCTAACAACCACTGGGTTTCTGCGAGTTCCTTGCAACTCATGGATGAACGCCGGTCCATTCCGGCTGGCAGTGAATACAACAATCAGCGAAAGGCACTCACGCGCAAGATTAGACAGTGTTTACGTAAGGACCGCGAAGCCTGGTGGTCAGAACGTGCGTATGAGATGGAGTCAGCTGCTGCATCTGGCAACAGTCGGAAGCTGTTCCAACTCATACGAGCCACCGGCAGCAAGAAACAAGGTGTCAGTGAGACGGTCTGTGAGGCAGATGGCACTCCATAAAGAACAAGATTCGCATTTTCAACGCGAATATGAAGTCGATCAGTGCTTCTATACGAGTCAGAAACTTGGCAAGCGTGTCACGAAAAGGATTTCCAACAGGTTGCAGACTTTCATCAATAGCTGCCACCTTCTCTGGCTCCATACCGAAGATCAAACGGTTAGGAAGAATTAGTAACAATTTACCCCCGGCTCTTTTTAAAGATGGTGGCGAGACTCTCACAATGGCTCTAACTGGGTTGTTCAGGAAGGTATGGGAAACTGAGAGTGTACCATCAATGTGGAACGAAGCCATTATCGTCCCCATCTTTAAAAAGGGTCGACGTAATTCGTGTGACAACCACAGGGGTATCAGTCTGCTACCAGTCGCGTCTAAATTATTGGCTTCTGTCTTGCTTCGCGGGCTGTGCAAAATACGTGAAGGATTGATTCGCGAAGAGCAGGCTGGGTTTCGTTCAGGTCGTGGATGCATTGATCATGTGTTCACCCTTCGTCAGTTGTTGGAACACCGCCACACGTATTGCAGGCCAACGATCGTTGTGTTTCTTGATATTAGGGCTGCCTTCGATTTGTTGGACAGAACTGTGCTCTGGAACTGTCTGTTAGAGAGAGGTGTACCTGAGAAATTTGTTAACATCTTGAAAGCCCTATACAGAAACACCTCAGGTAGAGTGAGGGCATACAACCAACTATCACCACTGTTCCCAACCAACAGTGGGGTTAGACAGGGTTGCCCAATCTCACCATTTCTCTTTAACTTTGCCATCGATGACATTCTGGAGTCAGCTCTGAAGGATGTGCGTGAAGGTGGTGTAGATCTGCTACCTGGAGATAGACTTTTCGACCTCGAGTATGCAGACGATATCGTCTTACTGTGCGATAGCATGCAGGCTGCCCAAATCGCACTTAATCAGTTGGCGATCAGTGTCTGTAAGTATGGTATGTGCTTTGCGCCGTCTAAGTGCAAAGTACTGTTACAAGATTGGCAGGAGCCTGTACCTGCACTCACTCTTGCGGGTGAACCACTTGAAGTTGTCGATAAGTTTGTGTACCTAGGTAGTTGTGTGAGTGCTGGCGGAGGGGTGACGGATGAGATTTCTAACCGTATAATGAAAGCTAGGGTGGCATACATCAACTTGAGCCACCTCTGGCGCCGTCGCGACGTTAGCCTGGCTGTCAAAGGTCGGGTATACAATGCTTCGGTGCGGGCTGCGCTGCTCTACGCCTGTGAAACCTGGCCTCTCCGAGCTGAGGATGTGAGGCGACTCTGCGTGTTCGATCATCGCTGTCTCCGCAGGATTGCTTGCATTCGATGGCATCATCGCGTGAGTAATTCTGAGGTTCGGCGGCGTGTGTTTGAACACAGTGGAGATCACCATTCATTGAATGTCGTCATCTGGAAACACCGGCTCCGGTGGCTTGGACATGTGCTGCGAATGTCACCCCAGAGGCTTCCGTACAGGTCTCTGTTCGCTAGCCCTGGGACGGGTTGGAAAAGGCGGAGAGATGGTCAGCCCATGACGTGGCGTCGTGGGATGAAGGATATTTGTGCTAGATTAGCATCGGTTGGTGTGTCACGACTCCCTGGTTGGGGTCTGAGAGATAGCTCAAATCGATGGCTCGAAACGTTATTGGATATGGCCAAGAATCGTAATCAATGGCGAATGTGTTGCGATTTCCTTCTTTCTTCCATTCCCGATGATAGTTAACGAACACTGTTTGAACCTGTTAAGAATGAGTGTTTTCCTTCCAGATGAAGTTCATTATTCGTTCTCTGCTTATATATATTTTTTCTTTTCCTGCCTTCCTTTTTTTCATCTATGTTGTTTATTATTATTGTGTGGCGCATCCTTCTCGGTGCCATATTGTACCAAGTTTTAATGCGTTTAAATAAATAAATAATTGGAATCATGGTTTTCCAGCTCCCCTAGGTAGACCACTATGCACACCGGTCCGGATGTAAGCACCAAAAGTTCAGATTCACCCTTTTAATTTTGTGAGGGAGTATCAGGATTAACAACAAGATCGAGACTCTAGAAGTTAGCTAACCCTATCAAAACAAAGCCACAGCACACTCACCTTCATAAAATTTTCTCCTGGACAACATTTCTTTCTCGAACAGATTTGGAATAAGTTTGTAAACAATAGCCTGCAATGCACGGTCAGGACGAATGGCATAGTGTGGTTTGGTTTTGTGTAGAAGTGTTTCACAAACTGGGCATGTCGTTTTATGCTGAAGATACGTTAAAATGCAACTACGACAGAAAGAGTGAAGACACTCAACAACTGTTGTGGCATCGATTAAGTATCCTTTGCACAAACTACACGTCAAATGTGGATTGAAGACGACAACTGGAACATCTGAAACTCGATGCATAGTGCTTAGGTTGACTACAAGCCACTAATTCGAAGGGGTGTGTCCATGGATTTATCAATTCATCAAACGTTTCTCAAGGAACATTGGTTACTGATAGAAGTAACAAAAACGGCTGGAATCTCATCAAAAGTGATGCAACTACGACCTGCGAATTAGAAAACAAATGGAAGGCAAGGAATGTGAGAGGATGAAATGCAAGTAAACTATTGGCCACATTAATGTGAAAAAATATAGTGATATTACCTAAGTATCCAGAAGTGAAGCTGAATATGTCCACTATTTATCAGTTATAGGACACAAACGCTTAAGTTATTGATCAAATCTCCGGACCATACCAAAACGACAACTGAACTAGGTTGAGTGAACAATATTGCTAAAACGATTATCACACGACTATTACCACGGCATACATAAAAAACACGCAGCAACAAAAGCATTAACAAGCTACCAGTTAAGGAATACTAACCCAAACCCCTGGATGCAGGAATAATATGAAATAACGAATTACAATTAATATTACGACAACATCAGTATACAGTTAAAATTAGGGCCGGATTCAGCACAACCTAAGAAAATTTTCTCGTACATGAACTTCAGGAATAAAACATCCAATGGTGTCCCAAACCTGACTATTGACAATGACACAATCGAAGAAGATCAAGAAAATGCAGAAGCAATGGCAGACTACTTCTCCCAAAGTCTTTACACAGGAGTCAACCCTGACTGCATCAGAGGAATACGGGATAGATTCCGTTGACATCGACCAAGACATCGTGCTTAACTGCCTAGTGAAACTAGATGCAGGAACTTCAATGGGTCCTGATAATCTTCATCCAAGGCTTTTCAAGGAGTTATCAGCTCACATAGCCGGCCCTTTGACCACGATCTTCAAGCTCTCTCTCCTAAATGGAGTGTTACCGCGTTACTGGAAAGCCACCATAGTAACCCTCATCCACAAAGGAGGATAAAGACAATGCCCTTCAAATTACAGGCCTATTAGTCTCACCAGCACTTTAATCATCAAGAAAAGTATCATGGTATATCTGGAAAACAACAAAATGTTATCCAGATCACAGCACGGCTTCCGAAGAAACCTTTCATGCCTGTTAAATCTCCTCACTGCAAGAGAAAGCTGGGTCAAATCAAGGGACAACAGAAAACCCGTCGACGTCGTCTTCATAGACTTCAGCAAAGCCTTTGATAAAGCTCCTCACAAAAGACTACTCATAAAGTCGGAAAGTCTCGGTATCAAAGGCAGATTACTAGACTGGCTCATGGAATTCCTCAAAGATAGGAGGCATAGGGTCGGGATCAACTCGAAACTCTCCAGCTGGACAACAGTGCATAGCGGAGTACCACAAGGCACGGTACTCGGACCTCTCCTATTTATTTTGTGTATCAATGAGTTATCTATGCTCACCGATTCCCCCATGATCCCATTAGCAATGGCTTTAAAACCTGGAGAAAACTGAAGGGCGACAGTGATACGCTCACGCTGCAAGAAGACCTCAACAAATTGTCAGATTGGTCCAGAGGATGGATGCTCCCGATCAACGCAGCGAAATGTGCAACCATGCACATTGGACATGCAAGTATCAGACCCTACGGACTGGAGGCAACAAAACTCCCATCGGTTTAGACTCATTTGGATCTAGGTTTCACAGTAGGTCACGACTTAAAAACTACAGAACACTATCGCGCGGTGGCTGCACGTAGTTTCAGATCCTTATGGGTAATTCGGAGAGCCTTTACTAGAATCACCAGAGATATGTTCACCTCCTTATATACATCTCTGGTGAGATCAAGACTAGAAAACTGTATCCAGGCAGCCAGTCGTTGTCTTAAAGGGGACTCACATTCTAGAAAGGGTTCAAAGGAAGGCAACACGTATGGTTCTCGGCATGACTAATTTATCATACGAGGAATGACTAGACAGCTTAAATCTCTCCTCCCTGTCATAACGTAGGCAGAGAGGAGATTTAATCAGTGTTTAAAATTTTAAATAATGATTACGGACCTGACCTATTCTCTCTATTCCTTCACAACAGGTCGGAACACTTTAGAAGACATAGCAGGAGAGTTCAAAAGCCAAGAAGAAATCATATTGCTGTTGAATACTGGTTCTCACACCGAGTCATAAACTCTTGGAAAAGACTCCCAGAAGAAGTATTATCTGCAACCTCAACTGATTCATTCAAGAAGGGTTTGGACAACCACAGAAATTTACTAGAAAAGGATTAACATAGGCTTAAAGCCTTCTATCCTCAGCCAATAAATCTGAAATCTACGAGTTCATTAGAAATGAATGCATCTAGGTTATCAACAGTCTCCAGTTATTGGGTCTTAGTCATGAAGACCTCAACCAATCAATTTCCCCCTTTTCAAGTGGCTCAAACCAACAGTCGAAAGCCTTATGGACTGACACCATATTTTGGTTTGACCACCCCGAACTGTTGTCTATTCCAATTGTATGCCAGCTAGAATTGCTCAACAAGCTTTGCTGTGCACAACTCCCATCGCACAGACTAAAGAATGACGGAGAGGGCTGCTGCGCAGTACATACGTTGGCTTTGACAGTTAGCTGGATAGCACACCTACACCAGGAACGACGTGAGACGGCAAATTCTAGAAGAACCTTCTTACACTGCAGGATACTGCAGGATCGTCTTTCATTTGACAGCGACGAATTGCATGATAAGCATACTAGGATTTCTACCTCTTGGCCTACACAAGACTACTGAACCTACAAATTTAGGTACTAAATTAGTCAAGCTGGTCACCATATGATTATCACAGGAAGATTTGTATCCCTTTATATATACTGGGACAATCGATGATTTTCACCAGTCCAGGGGGAATACTCAAAATCTCTAAACATCTGACAAACTCTCAAAACTTTAAATAAAAGTACAACATCGACCCCCAAAGTGAACTTCAAGGAGAAACCCTGTTCAGATAACCAACTTGATGGTAAACACTAACGCTAAATCCAACTCTTTTGCTATGACGCTAGTATTCTGACAGGAAAATGGCTATTGAATACCTAGACCTTACACTTAGGTAACGTGCAAATAGTATCAATGACCACATACACTTGATGACAAAAATAATCACAGCCAACCACAGTCCATGACACTTAAAATGCATTAGTTAACTAACTATGAAAGAATTAAAGAAGTACACCTAAAAATGGAAAGATCCTTTCATCAAATCTCAGTAAACATTCCATCAGCTGATGCACACTGGAAAACTACTGAAATAGCTGTGAGATCAGTAGCGCTTTCTTCCTCCATTATGGTAAATCAGTGATACTTTGACTATTCAATTAGTAGAACGTCAGTCAAAGACATCATTCCATATCTTCGGACTGCTTAATTAAAACTACACAAAGCGAATTGTTAAGAACTCTACTCCTAACAAGTACCTTAATGAACTGGAAATGACCTGAGACCACCTTAGTATATCTATTCAATTTACGAAGTAAAAGACCACATAACGCATGGAAACTAAGTAGACAAGGCAAGGAACAGGTAATGCAAAAATATACTATAAAACCAACTGAGACCTAAAAAGCAGAATTGGGATGGAAGTTTCGCTTGCCAACACGATTATCACTAAATGTTGTTGGCACAGTAACAATAAAAACACTGAAAACGACTCTTCCCCGTCGGAGAAACAGGTCTTACCTCGACAGCCCGACTACAACTGGCAAAAAGTTAAGATCATAACTACGACCAAGCAAACCTTCCAACGTCCTTGAAGAAACCAAAATCCCTCTGTACTATCAAACGGTAAAGAGAAACAACACACCCGACCTACTTGTAAACAATAAGTTCTAAACTGAATACATTATATCATAATATCCTGACCGTACACATAACTGTTTGCACGCTCACAGGTGCTATAATTAAAAAGCCTCCCTCTCAACCACACCGAATGACTAACTAGGAAGTGAATTAAATCCATTCACAGCAGTTAATGGGTCTTAATACAACGCATATTACATGCCACATATAATCAAACTCCGTAGCTCTCCCCATAGAGTCAACCAAAGCTATGATAGTCAGGAACTTTACCTTACAAATAAGGAGCGAGCCAAAAGAAATCAATTCGGTATACACTACCCAGTAAGAAGGATATCGGATACAGGATATTGGATCTGTCGAAAATGAGTCGATCTAATGTCTCTGGCATTTTTGGTATTCAAGTAGGGCTGCATACCCCTGGTTCACACAAGTGTTCATTTTAGTCAATCATTTGTTAAGGCTAGTGTTTGTCTTAAAAGTTATTTGCAAGCGGTCATTTCAGTATGTTGTTGTTTAGTGCTATGATTTAGCTGTTGCCATCTTCGCTGTCTGACAAGGACTCCAACATTCATATATGTCATGCCCGCACTGATCCAATGACCTCTTGGAGCTGTCTTCAAAGTCCTCTTTGGGAAAGTTCCATATCGTTGAGGGATTCCACTGCATACACGCCTTGTTATCCGTTGCGGCTTTGCGAAACACTGTCACAGCATGGGCACCAAATTATCTTGATAAGAATATTTGGTGCATTCCAGGGATGCGCTGCTGCTGAGAATGTGATTCATCACTTCACCTAGAAGTGCACTAAGTAGTTTGAAAATGAGCCCGAATATAATACTTCTAGGGAGTAAAAGGGTCAAGGGAATGTGTGGGTCACATAGACAAATGCCAGGCTGAAAGAATCGCGTACGGAATAAATGGGCCTGACTGATGTACTTGAGATTTACTTCAACCTTTGTTATCAGTCCCTGGTTTTCAAAGCCATACTGTCACCTGTCTTTAAGTGTGCTCCCCACTTCTGCTTATCATGGTACTGTTTCTGTCTCTGGTCCACTCTCTCAAGTTCTTCGAGCGCATAACTATGGTACCTGACTGTCTCCTCGCAGTCCTACTACCACTTTCATGATAGTAAGTGGTGCATTCTACTGTAGCATGGCTAACCGATCATTAGGAAAGCGCAACTCAGGACCAGTCCCCAACAGGTGTGATGTTTCCTAACGATTTTGTACTCGCTCTCCAAGCTGACGGGCATCCTCGTGACAAGGTATCTCATACTGACTCTTGTTCTCCTCCTAAAACTGTTCACGGCAACGATTTAAAAGTTCGATTCGTACGTTCTACTAATCCGTTGCTCTTGGGATGATTTGCCGTGGTTATAAATTTTCGAATTCGGAAGAATTGGTACATCTCACTGACCAAAAAGCTTCCCAAATTTGTTCCTTCGTCAGAATACAGTTGTCCTGGCGTACTTCAGTGGGTGACCCGACCGGCAGACATAGCTTGAGCTAGAGTAGGCGCATCATTTCGTTCAGGGGGTACAGCCTGGTATCATTTTGCAAAATATCCTGTCATAAGTAAGTCGCATTTTTTCCCACTCCCGGTCTCTGTTAATGACCCTATAATATCTGCACTAACTACTCCATTCAATTGTCCAGGCTCCATATTAATAAGTGGTGCTCTAGCTAATTTCCGCATCTTCTTTACCTTAACACATGTCCAATACCCATGGACAAAGTCTCTTGGCAGCCAACAACGTTGGGTGGCTGCTTGAAACATTCTATTAATTCCGACGCGCCCATGTCTTTTTTTAATTTTTTTATATTTTTGGCTACAGCTTGATGCCACACTGTATTTTCAGTACAAGTATGGAATTTTCAGCATGGATATCGGTAGCCCAATTTTGCAGGCCGACCATAGATATCGGGTGTGCGTCGGCAGGGGATCGAACCCCGACCATGTGCATGGTCGGCGAGAGTCCTAACCACTGTGCCACCGACTCACATTCCGACGCGCCCATGTTGCAATATACTCTTTCTAAAATCGCCGTTACGAACGACTGAGAGCCCGCAACTCTGCCCAAATAATTAAGGCCTGGTGCAACACAAGATATAATAATAATTTGTATTTTCATATAAACATAAATTCACATGAAAATGCATCCCATTTTTACAGGCACGATCAAGTATGATATAATGTCAAATAGTAGATTGTCTACAAGTTAATAATGTTTGAACAGCTAAATATTTGATATATATATAAATCACTCATTGTCTGACCCATGTCGTATCATTATTGAATTGTACAGTAGTCCTCCAGGTTAAGCGGGAAAATCGACTTCGTTTCGTTTTCCAACCGTGGTTGTAGGCATACGATAACCAACCAATATTGAGGTAAGTACAACGTTTACAAGGGATAGTAAGCTGTTTTAGAAAAGTAAAGGTGCTAGGGTGAATCATTAAAGTGTAATGAAATAGGTAAGTGCAATGTATCATTAATAGATGCATTCATAAAGGAAATACAATGGGAGACTATAATCCCTAGGCTGACAAAGTTCATTTGCAATGTATAATGCTACCCATATAGGTCCTACTATCATGATGTCCACTTTTGGTTTTAATGCAATTTTCCACAAGCCGGCTGCTTTTATTTCATACCTTTTTGTGTATTTGGTGCACAACAGTACCCTATAGAGAATAGGAATAAAATAAGTCGAATCAAATTCATAAATAGCTATAAAATGTTAGGTTTAACGGAATATAACTAGGAGCAAGTGAAGACGTTATTAGAAAATGAATGAGATGAGGCATTGCGAAGTGGTATCCAAAGGTTCGACAAAGGAAAGCAAGTTAATTTATAAGATGCCCCATAAATCTGTGTAGAGCCCACGTGGTCACATCTCAACAATAGGCTGAGCGAATGGTATATGTTTAAAGGTAGAAGCATGATGTGTCCGGGCGATCATTATTATCTTTTTCAAGGTAAAGATTCAGACCCTCATAAAGATCTCGAGCCGTCAAATTGCATATTGCTGTTCCTGCAGAATGGGGCGATTCACCTTAGTGACCACCGCCATATCTACTGATCAGCATGCGCCACCCTCCCTCCTTTTATGATGTTAGGCTCTGATTGTTATGGTTACAGCAAATATATTACTGGTTCCAGACACGTTCGTATCTCACATTCCATTTCCCTAGCTTTCTTAGTGAGTGCTTCCAATAGATCTCCACGTACAAATTTATGAATATATTATATATGTGTGCATGCGTCCTAATGAACAGATTAGGTAATAAGATGTTAAACCCTTAAAGAGTAAAAAGAATAGGTTTTGTGAATAGTGGAGCAAGATTCAGCAGAACACTATAGTTAAAGTTTAATGTAGGTACTATGAACTGAAGGTAAGGTCGGTCGGCAGGACTTATTGTACTAAGTTATCATGACAGTCTTCTATATAGTAAACATTTGACATTGCAAATCAACCTATCTACACATATTATAAAAAGATGTTAACACAGAACCAACAAAATTTTAACATTTGGTTAACAGTAGTGCAGTGTGTGTATACTGAAGAAGCGTAGTTAGTCTTACAGGGAGCCGTAAAGTAAATCAAACTATATATGATAAGAGTGTAATCAATATTATAATTCGTATTATCAAAGAATACATTAAGCTCGATAATTGAGTGTTATAAGGGAAACAAGCATGTTAAAGCAAGAGAACATTCGCTGCATAAATATTTTAATCATTTTAAGTATTGTAATGACAATCAAATTTAAAGAATTGATTAAGCATAATTACTAAGTATTATTATATTAGTGTTGGGACTAGTGTGCTTTCCGTAGTTAAATAGTGAAATGTCATTGTTCCACCACTCTACCAGCAGTTGTGATCTTTTAGACGGGTTAGGGTGGACATGTTAATATGTTTTTCTAGGCTCCTTTTGAAACTGTCAGGCTTTTCACAGGATCTAATCTCAGAGGGTAGTTGGTTCCAAAGTTTGGAATATTTAATGGTGAAAAAATTAGCCCTAGTGGTGAGTTTATGGGTGTTAACCTTGAGAAGGTAGTCATGGTTGCGTATTCCATAGGATTTAAGATTAGCCCACGTTATGGATGAGTTACTGTTACAGTGCTTTCTTATAACTTTGAATAAGAGAAATAAGCTGCACTTCACTCTCCTTAACCATAAGGGTTCTAAGTCCAGTCGAATTCATCTGTCAAGGTATTCTATTTGCTGATCATAGGCGGTCCCTTGTGGGACACAAGGTTCACAAACACCTCGTCTTCCCACTCCTCCTTTTACATCAGCTTCGGCTGACCTTCAGTCTGATTTGGTAGGGCTTAACATAGGGACGCCATCTCACTGTCGGCAGCTTTGGTATGTAGCCACTGTACTCTATTAAATCCTGCCAATTAAATAGCAAAGATAACACCATTCTCGAAGGGTGCGCTGTCTCCATGTGATCTGAATCACTGTCCAGAGAACGCGTCAGCACTTATATGCCACTTCCCAGGATGTTGCACTCAAAGTCGTTATCCTGAGGATATTCCTGCTACCTAGGGTCTGACCTTCAGGCTCCTTAATGTCTACAACCATCAGAGTGCTTTACGGCCTGTTTCAGGTGCAAAGGATTTACCCAGTAGGTAAGCTTTACGCTTAGGAGTGAATGTAATAACAGCTAACATCTCTCTCCTAGTGATGTAGTAGTTATTTTCTTCTCGGCTCAGTTTGTGACAGTCATATTCTGTAAAATGTTCTTTTCCCACCTCTGCCAGCTTGAAACAATACGGCTCCAATGGCTGTTTGATTGCCATATGTGTCTAAGATATACTTACCGGTCGGTGGGGATGTTTCTGGGAAGGCTAAAGTGGGCTTAGAACATAACGTGTCTTTCAACAGATGTAAAGCACGGCCACAGTGCTTGGTCCACACGAAATGGATATTTTTGCTATTCAGCTTTGTCAGAGTGTTAGAATTTC